GCATGCTTTCTCAACCAAGCGAGTGCAATCGTAGAATCTGTCCAGCAGATTATACGGTCCACGTTCAAGGCCATTGACCGTTTTACGTGTACCACGAGCTCGGAGAGAAGCACAGCCCCGTTCAATTCCAGAACGGGGATGGACTGCGTTTTGATCGGAGCCACCCGCGTTTTTGCCATTATCAATGTCGTAAACACGTCATTGCTTTTCGTCGTCACGCGTAAATACGTGACGGCCGAATAGGCTGCGAGTGAGGCGTCGCAGAATCCGTGTAGTTCTACGGAAACTGCGTCGGCTCCGTATCGGATCCATCTAGGAAATTTTAATTCCTTCAAGCTGCTCCAGTCTACGCAAAACGTGTTCCACGTTTTGAGCGTATTCGCTGAGATTTGGTCGTCCCACTGGATTTTCTCCAGCCATTGGGACTGCATCAAAATCTTTGCCCGAATTACGACTGGTGATAACCAGCCAAGCGGGTCGAACAGCTTGGCAATCTCCGAGAACAAATTTCTTTTTGTCATCGGTGATGCAGATGGTTGAAACCGTTGCAGATTAAAATAAAAATAATCTCCAGACGGTATCCACCGTAAACCGAGCACCTTTAGTTCGGAATCATCGAACAAGGTGAGGTCTACGGCGTGGGAGTGAGCGCTTTGGGGGATATTTCGCAGCAGTTGCGGCGAATTTCCGGCCCACTTTCTCAACTCAAATCCACCTCCTTGCAGGAGCTCGCAAACTTGAGTGCGAATTTTCTCAAGCAAGGATTTGTCGGGCGCTCCCATAAATACGTCATCGACGTATGTGTCCTTCTCGAGAATAGGAGCGGCGAGAGGAAATCTATCTCCATCCTGCTCCTTCAATTCGAGAAGGGTTCGCATCGCTAAGTACGGGGCGCACGCCGTGCCGTATGTAACGGTATTTAACTCGAACGCTTCCAGCTGTTCGGTTTCAGGTACGCGCCATAAGATGCATTGAAAACGACGATCCTGTGGGGCGACCAGAATTTGTCGAAACATCTTCTCAATGTCAGCCACCAACACGTATTCATGCAGACGCCACCTTGTTAGAACCGAGGTAATGTCGTTCTGCAATTTTGGACCTACGTGTAGGATGTCGTTTAGGGAGCGACCTCCAACCGTTCTGCTGGTCGCATTAAATACGACCCGCAATTTGGTTGTCGCACTTTCCGTGCGAATGACCGCTCTGTGCGGGATGTAGAGCCTAGTTTGGTCAATGGGCTCGATTCGAGTCATATGACCTAAGGACTCATACTCCGCGAGAAATTCAGAATATTCTCTTTTGAGGGTCATGTCGCCGTCCAGTTTCCTCCGCAACCTTGTAAGAGCGGAGAGCGCTATATGGAAGGAACTTCCTAACGCTTCGTCCGGTCTCGGGTCATTTAAAGGTAACCGGACTACAAAACGTCCCGTTGCGTGCCGCGTGACGGTTTTTCGAAAGAATGCTTCGCACTCCTCCTCCGCCTTGGTACGCAGCGAGGTCGAGGGAATTTCCTCGCTCTCCCAGAACCGCCGAATTGCGTAATCAAGCGATTCGAGGACGGTGCAATGCAGCGTCCTTACGGTTTTCTGGTTTTCGCCCGCTGCATTTATCGGGCCGGATATGATCCAGCCAAATACAGTTTCTTGGGCGATGGGACCCTTGTTCGTCCCTCGTCGGAATCCCGGTCGGATCACCTGTGCATACAGGTCCGCACCGATCAGAATTTCAATATTCCGATCAGCCTCGGGGTCGGGGTCAGCAAGCGGTAGGCCACTGAACGCGCCATAATTAAGCGCATTCGCCGACGGTGCACGGTAGGTCGTGATTTTTGGCACGACGTACGCGTTTGTACCACATATCGGTTCTATGGCTTTTACCGCGCCGAGACTCAGTCCGACGCTGTATTTTATAATTTGCGTCCGACCGCCCCCCAAGCCCGTTACCGTGGCTGGGGTTCGTTTACGCAATAAATGGAGGTCGTTTGCTAAGCCGGCGGAAACGAATGACGTTTCCGAGCCCTGGTCTAGCAAAGCGCGCGCGATTCGCGACGCACCGTTTCTGCCGAATACTCGTACTCGTGCCGTTGCCAATACCACCGGCCTCGGTACGCCTGTACCGAGCGCGGTACAGTGCGACGTCGAGGCGGTGTTTGTATTGGTGCCTGAAGCAGAGGTTTTTGCTTTCGGCTTCGACTTGACCGGTCTGCGTGATGGGGCGTTCGTACGCCTCTCCTCACGCTTACCGTACGAATTATTTGCAAACGGCCTCGTATTTTTTCCTTCCCGGTTTTGCGCGTAATGCAGCAGGATATGATGCTTCCCACTGCACTTTGCACATACTGCGGGGCTTTGGCAGTGTAGCACTGTGTGGGTAGAGGCCAGGCATTGTACACACCAGTGGCGACCCAGCACATATTGGCTACGTGTTTTTTCCGGCAGAACCAAAAAGGCGCTACACTGCTGTAAGCTGTGCGGTCCGGTACAGAACCCGCACTTTTGCTTCTGCGAAGGGCCGACCTGCCTTACGGCGTCGAGGCTCGACCCTCGCGACTGTGCAGCCGAGTCGGTTTCCACAACGGCGTTATGGCTCCGCACGTGTCTTGAGGCCGATCTCGTTTCCCGAGTCGTGCTACGACTACGTACGCTCGATTTTGTGGCAGCCGCAAGTGCAGCCTCGCGACGCTTCTCGTCCATGGAGAGCAGTGCGCGTGAGTGCATCTCGATGAACCTCCGTACGTCCTCGAACGTAGGATATTCTGTCGAGAGGTTGAGCGTTTTCTGCCACTCTAACTCAAGCGCAGGCGAGAATTTTTGCTTCGCCCAATGCGCGAGTAGCCAGTCTCGCTGCTGTTCGGGCGTGCCCTTCTTATCGAGGGCGGCGAGCGCCTGTGTACAACCCACGGTGATCTGCTGCATGCTAGCCAGATCACCGGTATCAATGGGTTTTAAAAACAGGAGCTTATCCAGCAATTTTCCCGTGACTATGCGTGGGAGGCCGAAGGTGTTCTTCAGTCTCGACCATGCCACTGAAAAATTACGACCGACGATCTCGATCGAAGCAATGGACGCTAGAGCTGGTCCCTCTAGGCAGGCATTCAGATAATGCAATCTTTGCACATCCGACAGTCCTGCATTCCGTATGACCCCGGAGGTGAACAGGTCCTCGAAATGTTCCCATTCCTGAGGATCTCCTCCGAACTTGGGTAATCGTTGCTTCGGGAGTTCGATCGGTATACTAAATTGAACGTCCGACGACGCTGGTTTAGACTCAGCGCTCAGTCGGCCGAGTTCAGTAAGGACGAGATCCTGGAAATCCTGGAAATCTTCCTCGGCATTCCTCATATAATTCAGCTTAAAGATGTCGTGTGACGGTCTTTCCGCTGCAGGAATTTGCTTACGCACGCTATTATACTTGGTACGTATATCGCGCCAAGTTTCTTTAGCGTGCTCGAGCTTTTCCTCAAGCATTCGCTCTGAGTACTTCGCTCGTCCTAACTTTTTTAGGTTCGTGCCCAACCGTTTTAGCTGACCACATAGATCGACCAAGTCTTCGATTTCGTCGTCGAGATCGATTTCTATGGATAACTGTGCTACGGCCATAGTGAGCGTTTTCGAGGATCAATCAACTCGAAAAAAACCTCCTACGTGGATAACTTCTCACGTGAAGTAATGTGCACCCTTATTCCTAGTCCGTTCAACCTCGTATGATCCGGCTCGAAGGACCTGTTGTTAGAATGCTAGGAGTTATCCTGGCCTAACGGGGTCCGGATTACGAGGGAAAGGACTTTAGGAAAAAGTATATTAAAAATTGATGCACTCGATTTATATTTTCGCTTGGTCGCTTATCGCGGCCAAGCCGTTTATTTATTTTAAATTTTTTAGGAACAAAAGAATCGGAAAAAAAACCACCTCGACGTCAGTCAGTCGTTGGGGGGAAAAAAACCTATGGCTGCCGCTCACCCTCAGCCCTCGTTGTTTGGTCTGTAACAAGGAAAGACAAGGCTGGATTTGAATACCTTGTAACGCTTGTCGCGTTGCCCGTCTCGCTTTATTTCACACGCTCCTGTCTGTGCTAGTCGCACTCAGGAGCGGGAATAACAGACCGTGCTCGTCGAACTGAGCGATGTCTATGTGGACTGTATATGTGAACGTTCTCGTAAACGGAGAAACGTTCGATCGCAGTGCGGAAGAAGAGATTTAATTTCTCAATTCTCCGCTTTTTTTTGCGATGGTTGAAATGCCGCAGGAATGGACAACAGGTGGAGGTTGTAAGGCTCCAAATGTTGCTCAAATCCGCAGTTTCTCACCGTTCTCGTATGCGCACAAGGCGCGGTGTGGTGTAGCCCTTAACGGCGCACGAAACGTCTTACGTTTAAAGGAGCGTACACCACGGTGCTCTTTTGCGGTGCTCTGCGCACAGGGTACGTACACACTGGCGGTCAAGGAGCGTTGCTCGAGCGTGTCGGAAGCGGGAAGAATCCGGTTTTCTCCAGCTCCGACACGAGAAACGGCAAGCCCACCGGGGTATCGACCAAAGGTTACCCTGGGGGTGAAAATTCAAAACCGTGCGGACAATTCAATGTCGATCACGACCGCGTCAAATGCAGCAGTACGTGCGACAATTTGCTCTTCCACGGCCGCGAAGCTCAAGCGCTACGTGGAGAAAATCAGCCTCACACGACCGCGTCAAATGCAGCAGTCCGTGTGAAGGTCAGTACTGAGTAGGCCGTAGCCACTGGCTGAAACTGTACTTCCGACGACCGCTGAGTTCAGCGAGACGTTGGAAAGTCAGCCTCACGACCGCGTCAAATGCAGCAGTCCGTGATATAACCAGTCTCTCACGACCGCGTCAAATGCAGCAGTCCGTGGAGCCGTCAGCACTGACTGGGCCTTAGCCCTTGGCTGTGACTGGAGTTATCGACATACGTGAAACGAGGATTTTCCTCGATTCGCTTCACGGCCGCGAAACTCAAGCGCTACGTGAAGCTGAGACGAAAACCCACAGTCTGTTTGGACTGAAATCTCGACAAACGGGAGCCGAGTTTCCTCGATTCGCCTCTCACGGCCGCGAAACACAAGCGCTACGTGAAGAATTCGGCGAGATTTATATAGTCATTTAATCGGGGCTGGAAAAATGCCTCACCGATTTAATTAATTGCGAGCAGCATTCGATTAGTCTCAACGAAAGGTTCGAGTGTTCTCAGAACCCTTTTTCGGAGAATCTGGCTTCGTCGCGGAGCGGATTCGTTCGTCGATCTGCTCGCTGCGAGGACCAGAATTCGAATCACGAAGCGAATAGACATCCGCAGTCACGGCCACGGAAGGGGTAATCACCCTCTCGCGGCGCTATCCCTGCTCTTCGATATCTATCTCTTCTCAATTTTAATATTTCGATACCCTCTCTGTTTATGAATCTTCGACGATCGATCCCAAGTATACGGTATTGGGTCGATCACGTGACTGAGAGCAAACAAACTCGTGTGTGGTTCTTCTAACCTGTATTGGTCCGTGTACCGATCTACGCATCAGAGAGTCTCTGGAATGTCGTGTACGCGAAAGCAAAAACTATACGAGGAATTTACGGTTCTCAGTTATGGTTCACGTTAAATTAGATAATTCTCTTAACGGTTCTCAAACCCGTCAATTAACGCGATATTTAAACAATAAGTTTGTAGAGAAGATGAACTTTGTAAGAAGTAATTATGATTATTGCCTATATATAAATAATATAAACAAGGATCCAATATATATATTATGTTTTCGTAGATGATTTGTTAATAGGTTTGCAACAATAAAAACAACATAAAGGAAACAAAAGCAAGCCTGATGGAAAGATTTTCAATGAAAGACTTAGGAAAAATAGGAAGTTATATAGGTATAGATATAGATTATAGTGATGATAGACGTAAGATGACATTAAGCCAATCAAAAATACATTGAATCATTAGTTGCAAAATACAATTTAGAAAATGTCAAGGTATATGATACTCCGATGGAAACAAACTTGAAATTAACGCAAGCTAGTGAAGTAGATGAAAACATAAGATACAGAAATTTGATAGGTGATTATTGTACATCAGTACAGGCACGCGACCAGATATAGCTTATAGTGTAAATTATCTAAGTAGGTACCAGACTTGTTATAGTGCAACACATTACAAATATGCAATGAGAGTTCTGAAGTACTTGTACAAGACCAAAGATTTAAAATTAACTTATTATGATAACTAACGAATGAGACGTTAGATTGTATGGTAGACTCAGATTACGCAGGTGATAACGTAGACCGAGAAATCTACGACAGGGTTTATAATTAGTGTATGGGAATTTAGTCTATTGAGAACACATAACAGAATACAGTAACTAATGTTCAACCTTTGCGGAATATACTGCAATGTCAGAATCAGTGACAGAGATATGATTTATAAGAAATGTTGTAATGAATCCTTTAATGTAAAATTCGATAAGGCAGTAAAAATGTACGAAGATATTCAGGTGCAATAGCGATAGCGAAGTTTGGAATTTTACGAAAACATCGAAGCATATTGAAGTGCAGTATCATTACATAAATGAGAATTATGAAAAAGGTATAATTGATATTATAAAAATCGATACAAAATTGAATTTGGCAGATATGTTGACAAAAAAGCTTAGATAAAACAAAATTTGTGAGAAGCAGGACAGCGCTGAGATTACTTTAATAGATCGAGATTATAAATTTAAGAAGGCGTGAAGTCTGAGTACTTCGCTCGTCCTAACTTTTTTAGGTTCGTGCCCAACCGTTTTAGCTGACCACATAGATCGACCAAGTCTTCGATTTTGTCGTCGAGATCGATTTCTATGGATAACTGTGCTACGGCCATAGTGAGCGTTTTCGAGGATCAATCAACTCGAAAAAAACCTCCTACGTGGATAACTTCTCACGTGAAGTAATGTGCACCCTTATTCCTAGTCCGTTCAACCTCGTATGATCCGGCTCGAAGGACCTGTTGTTAGAATGCCAGGAGTTTTCCTGGCCTAACGGGGTCCGGATTACGAGGGAAAGGACTTTAGGAAAAAGTATATTAAAAATTGATGCACTTGATTTATATTTTCGCTTGGTCGCTTATCGCGGCCAAGCCGTTTATTTATTTTAACATTGATTTATTAGTAACAAAAAAAAGAATAGGGAAAAAAAACCACCTCGACGTAACACACTCCATGCAAGCTAGCTACCTAGCTCACTCCTTGCTAGCTAGCTACTAGCTCACTCCTTACAAGCTAGCTACCTAGCACACGCTTGCTGGCTAGCTACGTAGCAAACTACTTGCTAGATAGCTACCTAGCTCACTCCTTCTCTAGCAAACTACCTAGCTCACTCCTCGCTAAACATCTACCTAGCGCACTGCATGTTAGCTATCTACCTAGCGCGCTCCTTGCTAGCTACCTGCCTAGCTCACTGATTATAATCCAGCTACGTGGCACACTCCGTGCAATCTAGCTACCTAGTTCACTGCTTGCAAGCTAGCTACCTAGCACACTCCTTGCTAGCTTGCTACCTAGCTCACTCCTTGCTGCCTAGCTACCTAGCACTCTCCATGCCAGCTAGCTACCTAGGTCACGCCTTGCTAGCTAACTACCTAGCTCACAATTTGCTAGCTAACTACCTAGCTCACACCTTGCTAGCTGGCTACCTAGCGCACACCTTGCTAGCTAGCTATCTAGCTCACTCCTTGCAAGCTAGCTAGGTAGCACACAACTTGTTAGCTAGATACCTAGCACACTCCTTGCTAGCTAGATACCTAGCTCAGTCATTGCAAGCTAGAAACCTAGCACACCCCTTGCAAGCTAGCTACCTAGCTCACTCCTTGCAAGCTAGCCACCTAGCACACTCCTTGCTAGCTAGCTACCTAGCTCACTGATTACAATCCAGCTACCTGGCACACTCCATGCAAGCTAGCTACCTAGCTCACTCCTTGCTAGCTAGCTACCTAGCTCACTCCTTGCAAGCTAGCTACCTAGCACACCATTTCCTAATTAGCTACCTAGCACAACTCTTGTTCGCTAGCTACCTAGCACAACTCTTGTTCGCTAGCTACCTAGCTCACTCCTTGCTAGCTAGCTACCTAGCTCACTCCGTGTCAAGCTAGCTACCTAGTACACCCTTTGCTACTTAGGTACCTAGCACACCCCTTGTTAGCTATCTACATAGCACCCCCCTTGTCAGCTATCTACATAGCACACCCCTTGTTAGCTAGTAACCTAGCTCACTCCTTCTTAGCTAGCTACCTCGCGCACTCCGTGTTAGCTGGCTACCTAGCTCACTACTTGCTAGCTACCCACCTAGCACAGCCCTGTACTACTTAGCTACATAGCTCGCCTCTTGTTAGCTAGCTACCTAGCTCGCTCCTTGCAAGCTAGTTACCTAGCTCACTGCTTGCTATCTAGCTACGTAGCACACTCCATGCACCTAGGTACCTAGCTCACTCCATGCTACCTAGCTACGTAGCACACTCCATGCAAGCTAGCTACCTAGCTCACTCCTTGCTAGCTAGCTAACCTAGCTCACTCTTACAAGCTAGCTACCTAGCACACTCCTTGCTGGCTAGCTACCATGCTCA